GGAGCCGGGCCCCAAGCGGACCAGGAGAAGGCGGAAAGTGAAGATTAAAGGCGGAGGGTGAGGCCCGCAGAGGCAGCAGCGTAAGCAGCCAGCCTGACCGGGAAAGGCCTGAGGCCTGATGGTCTCGTGCGGGTGAGGCCGTCCTCCCTCACGCCACAGGCGGCAGGAGCCGGGAGCCGGGTCTGATCTTCATTCGCATCAAACACCAAATTATCACCGGATCACCCGGGACTTTGTTGTAACTGAGCTTCTGAAAGGCGCTATAGAAATTCATAATTACTCACAGATTTAATTCAACACTTCAAATTTGTTTTGAGCTGTTAAAAATTGGTCTACACTTTCTTGTGGCCTCGTCGTTGTGGAATTACATTTTAATTTTGGATTAATTCCATTGTCATGTTTTAAATTAGTTTTCACAAGGGAACGGTTTCTTGCTTTTACTGGGCAATTGTTTATTATGTGACAACGTTAAATATTGTTCACTTTTTCTTAAGGCTTATTATAATATGCCTCACAGAAAGAGGCCATTTGCCCATTGCCCCAATGCTGGCTCTTTGAAGAAGCTATCCCGTCACCTCTCTCCTCAGTGCTGTAATGTTTAACCTCTTGCTGATCTATTTTAAAAAAATAATCTGTACGTTTCACCTGTGGTAATTATGCCATGACTATAATTTGTGATAACAAGGTGTAGAGCTGGATGAACACATCAAAAAGAAGGGTCTTTTCTGAAGAAGGGTCTAGGCCTGAAACGTCAGCCTTCCTGCTCCTATGATGCTGCTTGGCCTGCTGTGTTCATCCAGCTCTACACCTTGTTATCTCAGATTCTCCAGCATCTGCAGTTCCCACTATCTCTGTATAATTTGTGTTCCTCTGGGTTTCTGGATCTCTTGCCACTAGAAACTTTCTCATTATTTACTGCTCTATCTAATCTCCCCTTTACCACAGTTTCCTCAGCCTCTTCATGCAATTGAAATTTCTCATCCACTATGCAATTCTCCATGCCCTCTCATTTTTGTAATCTGTGATGTTGTCAGCTTTCCCTTTTTCTCATGTTAAGTGTTACTTTACTCTGTATCTGTACTAGATCAGGGATGCTGTTGAGTCTAGTTCTGTCAGTTGAAAGCCTCTGTCCTGTAATATTACAGAATGCGAATTGTGGATGATGATGTGACCTGGAAGAGCCTTGCAAAGGAGAAGGAGAAAGAGGCAGCATTAGAGGCAGCAGAGGATGAGGATGATGAAGCCCCTGTGGTAGGTGAAATAGCTATTCCCAGGACTGACTGACTCTAAGATTTGTCAGCAAATAACTAATTAAGACCTCAACACTGTGTGACTACTGTTACCGCTGCTGAAGATACTTCAATAACAACAAGACATTTCAATTGAACTGCCAAAACCCCACAAGAAGGTTGTTAAGTGATTTGGAAAGGAGAAAATTCAGAGCTAGAGAAGGTTTGCAGTCCATCTGACCAGTCTCTAAAGCTAATCCCAGTCTCCCTAATGCTTGTTGAACATTCGCTTATAAACAAATTGATAAGTTCCACTTGAGAGCAGAAGAGTCAGGAGTGACAGGAGAATTTCTTTTAATACGGAAAATTGTTCTAATTTCAAATGGGTGGTGGAAACAGATTTAGAAGTAACTTTTCATTGGGAATTTCATAAATACTGAAAGGGGAAGGTTTTACAGGATGATGAGGGAAAGAACAAGGATGTGTGACAAATTAGCTAAGTTTTTAATAGACCCAATACAGGTAAAATGAGATAAATGTTTCTATCTGTACTCTAAGATTCTGTGAGAGACTGCTGTGGAAAATGTCTTGCTGTGTATTGGGAAATGACTGACCTTATGGCTGACCTTATGAATGCTTTGTCCAGAGTGTGTTCGGTTGGGACAATGTAGAGGGAGCATCACTCTGTTTCTAATTCCATACTGTACCTATCCTGGGGTTTTTGGTAGGACATTGAAGAGGGAGCCTTAGTCTCTGAACTTGCCCATATACAGTTCAATGTGATAGATGACAGTGGATATTTAAAATGATCATTGTTTATATTCACTACATCATGCTGTACTTTGAACTGCTTGGGTCCAAACTTTGTACCTAATTTTTATGATGAGGCTTTTGGTCATTTGACCTAATGTCTTGTGTCAGGATTTATTTGATCACCATTCCTGAGAATGATTTGGGGCTGTTTTACTCTATGACAGGGCTATGTAAATGCAGATTGTTGTTGTATTATACTTTTGTGTTGATCTCCAGCCTGTTGCTTTAGGTGGCAGAGTTCATTGATGAAAGGCCTGAAATCATTCAACAAATGGAGGAATTCCGCCTAAGCAATAAGTGGAAAATTTTAGGAGGTAAGTAGTGAGGCGTCATTTTTAAAAAGACTTGGATTTCATTCTATGCAGTGAATTTGTATTGGCTGCTGTGTTATAAATACATTAATTGGATGTGAGCATCATCGGCTGGGCTAGCATTGTCATTCATCTCAAGTTTCCCTGACAAGCTGGTAGTGAGCTGCCCCTTTGAATTGCTGAAGTGGTTTGATATATTCACTGTATCACTGGGCTACTTTAGAAGGCAGTTCAGAGTCAACTATTGGTGAAGAACTAGAGCTACATTGAGACCTAAACTGGATGAGAATGGCAGGTTTCCTTCTGGAAAGGAAGTTAGCCAGTTGGCTTTGCAGTAATCCACCACTTTCATTTACTTTTTTTGTACTAAGTTCTAATTGTCAGTTGCCCTGTTGAGTTTTGAACTGGTATATTAATCTGACCCTATAACCACTGAACTCCAGTCCACTGACAGTCATCTGGCAAGTGAAGTATAATATGGGGACACATGAAGTTGTCTATTTTGGCAGAAAAAATCAAAAATAACCACATTATCTATCAGGACCCTTCCAAAATGTCAGCTTTCCTGCTCCTCTGATGCTGCCTGGCCTGCTATGCTCCTCCAGCTCCACACTGTGTTATCTCTGACTCCAGCATCAGCATTTCTTACTATCTCCCTGTTGTATCAGAGCTTGGTTTGACCGTACCTAGAGTTGTGTGTGTAGTTTTGGTCTCCTTAGCTCAGGAAAGATATTATTGCCAAAGAGGAAGTGCAGTAAAGGTTCACCAGATTATTCCCAGGATGGTGGGAGTGTCGTAAAGAGAGAGTTCCCAAACTGTCTAGAGTTCTGAATAGTGAGAGGTGATCTCACTGAAACTTACAATGTCCTTTTGATAGACAGGGTAAATGCAAGTAAGATGTTTCCTCTGGGTGGGGACTCTAGAACCAGAGGCACAATTTAAAAGTTAGGGTCATGCCACTTAGGAGTGACATTAAAAGTTTTTTTTAACTCGGAGGATTGTGAACCTTTGGAATTAACTACCCAGAGGACTGTGGAAATTCGGTTTTTGAGTATGTTCAAAGTAGAGAATGGGTTCTGCTTAATAGTGGCGTCTTGGGTTACGGGGCAAATGGGTGAAGACAGTGATGTGTTTGATCAGCTGTGATTATATTAAACAGTGGGGCATTCTCAATGGGCTGAATGACCCACTCCTATTCTTACATTCTCCTTATTTAAGGAAAGATCTAAATCCATGAGATGCAGTTCATAGAGAGTTTGCTAGACTAACACTGAGAATGGGCAGCTTGTCTTACAAGGAATGATTGAATAGGCTGGAGTTTAGTGAACTTGACTGAAAGACCTGAGTGTGACAACATAGGACAAGTACAGAAACAAAGAAAGGAGCAGGAGCAGGCCATTCAGCCCTTTGAGCTTGTTCCGGCATTCAGTATGATCTTGGCAGATCTTCTATCAATATTCTCGCTTTCTCCCAATACCCCTTGATGCCTTTAAAATATAAAAATATATCTCTTGCTTGAATGTATTCAGTGATTTGGTCTCAACAACCTTCTATGCCAGAGTGTTCCACAGGTCCACTACCTTCTAGGTGAAGAAATGTTCCTTTATCTCGGTCTTAATTGGTCTAACCTATATTCTGAGACTGTGTCCCTTGGCCCTGGATTTCCCAACCAGGAGAAAACATCCTCTCTTAGTCTATCCAGTCCTGTTAGAAGTTTTTGAATCAGAGATAGTAGGAACTGCAGATGCTGGAGAATCCAAGACAACAAGGTGCAGGGCTGGATGAACACAGCAGGCCAAGCAGCATCATAGGAGCAGAGAGGCTGACGTTTCGGGCCTAGACCCTTCATCAGAAAAGGGGGAGGGGAAGGGGTTTTGAAATAAATAGGAAGAGAGTGGGAGGCGGATAGAAGAGGGATAGAGGAGAGGATAGGTGGAGAGGAAACAAACAGGTCGAAGAGGCGGGGATGGACAACTCTCTCCGTGACTCCCTTGTCCGCTCCACACTCCCCTCCAGCTCCACCACACCCGGCACTTTTCCCTGCAACCGCAGGAAGTGCTACACCTGCCCCCATACCTCCTCCCTCACCCCCATCCCAGGCCCCAAGAAGACTTTCCACATCAAGCAGATGTTCACCTGCACATCTGCCAATGTGGTATACTGCATCCGCTGTACCCGGTGTGGCTTCCTCTACATCGGGGAAACCAAGCGGAGACTCGGGGACCGCTTTGCAGAACAC